CATATGATTTAAAATACCAAAATTGGTTAATTTAAAAAGAATTAATTATTTAAAGTTTAGAAATCACATTTCATTTTACGCTTTAAGGATTAATTTTATATATAATTGAAAAAATATTCAGGAGTATCTTTTTAAAAAAGATATATTACTTTTTTTTTTTTTCTTAATTTTCTCTCTCTTTTACTCATTTTCTTTATTACTTTTTACACTTATTTTAAATATTAAAATTTTATAAATATGAATACACAAGAAAAAAGAAAAGCTAGTGATCATTCTCAAAAAGAAGTATGAAAACATTTTAAACAAAAACCTCTTAAGTCTTCTAGTCATTTTTCAGCTTAATGTAAATATTGTCAGTTTAATTGGACCCGTGGCAATCCAAATGAATTAGAAGAACATTTAGCAAATAATTGCAAAAAAGTTCCATAATATGTTAGTTCATTTTATATAGATTTAGTTTCTTCATGTGATTTTGAAATTGAAGATAATTTTATACCTTTATCAAAAAATAATAAAAAAAGAAAATATCAAAATCAGCAAGATATAACGGACTGGTTTGAACCAGAAACTATACTTCCTTCAAAATTGCTTCTATTACTCGTGCTCTTGTTCGGGCATTTGTATGTTGTGATATTTCATTCTCAATTATAGAAAATCCTTTTTTTCTTGAATTTTTACAAGAAATGAAACCAGAATATGTACATCCTACAAGTGAATTACTTAGTGGTAGATATTTGAATCAAGAAACAGCAAGAATTAATAAAAATATTGATGAAATTATCAAAAAATCAGATAATTTAACACTTGGTAAATTTCTTTTATTAAATTTAAATTATATGCTTTTAAATATATTTCTAACTTTTTTTTATTAAAAGCACTCGATGGATGGACTAATCCTACTAGTTCTTCCATCTATAATTATATTATATTAATACCTGATTATGAGCAATATTTATATTCCCTTCAAGATTATTCAAATGATCATCATTCTGGAGAATTTTTGGCTGATAAAATTACTGATATAATAATAAATATTGGAGTTAAAAAAGTAGCAGCAGTAGTTACCGATAATGTACCAATATAACTAAAGCATGAAATATTATTGAAAAACAATTTTCAAATATTATTAATTTACGTTGTATTGCATATTTTGTAAATTTAATAACGAAAGATATAATGGGTATGTTTTAAATAATATTATAAATTATTTTTAACTTTTATTTATTATATTTATTATATTTAATAATTTTAGAAAATAATTTTGCTAAGCAAACTATTAAAAGTTGTAATGAAATTATAATATATTTTAAAAAATCACATTTTGGAGAAAGTTTATTAGCTAATACAACAATTGTATTAAATATTCAAAGTAAACTTAAAACATATTGTAAAACTAGATAGAAATCTATATATAAAACTGCTACTTCAATTTCAAATTTTCAGATTGCTTTAGAATATGTAAATATATTTAAATTTTGTTATTTTTTCTTTTATAAAGTTTATAATTAATTTTAAAAATAATTAATAATTATAGGTATTATTAAATGATGCTAATGAAATTAAAAGTAATTCTGTTAAAAAACTTATTAAAAGTTCATCATTTTTTATAAATGTTGACAAATTAGTTCAAGTTTTAAAACCAGTTAAAATAGCAATAATTCTTCTTGAAAGTGCAAGTGTAAATCTTGTAGATTGTTTTCTTCAGCTAATTTTATTAGCTAATGCTATTAAAAAGTTACCTATTCAAGAAATATAGGGCATTTTAAGAGATTTGGGACAGATTTCGATGAATGCACTCTTAGTACTCAAATCCGCCTACAAGTCCAGTTTGCTATATATTTCATTTCTATTTATTCAAACTTCTAGCGCCTTTTAACTCAATTCTAGATGATAATATCGAACTTGGCTAGGAATTAGCCTGTCTGATACCAAGAATTACAATGTTTGATTTAACCATTCTAGCCTGATTTTAATCTCAAATAA